ATTCTAATAAACTACAAATTCTTTACTTTAGAACACATGTAGACTTTTTGTCGGATATATCAGCCTGTGTGGAAGTTAACGCGCAACTCCAGTAAATACGCATGTGCAAATGAATACCAGTTTCTACCACTGCCCTGCACACAAATAAGAAATTGACATTTTTTGCGCAGTTCACATCTTAGTGACGTTTACAATTGATAACTCGGGAAACCAAAGAGAGCCGTCTATCATCAAAATCAGTTCACTTTTATGAACATTCTTGTGCATATAAATCCCATATAATTATGGCGTTGTTGTGGCCAAGCATGCCAGTGACTGTTATGATCGAGTGAAATTGGCTGTGGGACCAATTCGGTAAACTGGTATAATTTATTTAATCTCCTTTAAAATCGCTAAAACAAGCTTATCTTCGAACGAACCTTCCAGGCCTACATGTTTCTCAAGCGAACCGGAAGTTACCACAAGACCATTTACAGAAGGTTTGGTTGCCCCGGAAACAATTTTATATATTTTAAGTACCTTATCAATTTGTAATGAGACTAGTTTCAGTACAGTGTCAATCAAATTAATTAAGTATCCTAATAATTAGGCCGAGTCAGTTTAAGCACCACTTTCACGTGATCTAGTAAATTGATCTACATAATTTAATTGTATATAAACAGTGTTAATCATATTGTGTAACATTAAATACGTTCATCATGTGAAGGATTCTCCGATTTTAGGCTATTTATTATTTTAGATAATGGCTGTCAATGTTGTAGGGACTCAATATTTGTCGTATCAAAGTTGGTATACCCAGAAGGCAGTCGCCTTTTCCCTTGTGCCATTTATTTTGAGTCTTAAATATTATTCTATAAATATATCAAGTTATAGCCCATAATTCCGTTGAGATTTCAAATTTAAGAAGGCACAACCCTTAGAATGTTCTCCTGACTCAATCTCGTCGTGGGCGCCCAACCAATCTCGGCTTTATGGGCACGTTGGTCGTTGGCTTCGTATTGCCCCCCCCCCCTCCCCTCAAGTTAGCTACGGACCTGTCAAATTGTCGATATCCAAACTGTAAGGCTTAGTATTTTGTCTCTCCACAGAAAAAATGTCAGGTAACCCTATTTGGATGGATTTCGTAAATATGGAATGTCAAAAACACACGCTGGGTCTAGTTCTGTTCTACGTCATGGTTCACAGGCGAGTGTGGCTTCAGTATTTCACTGAAACATCTCTTTAAAATTTTAGCTTATGTTGTAGCATCAATCATTATACCAAGTGTTTAACACATCATTAAGATCAATCTTTCTACAAGCATTATAGCTAAAACTTGATATTTAACTCACAGCTGTTATAATACCAGCTGGGCCCTGTTTCACATAAATTTACTATAAGCATTAACTAAAAATTAAAATGAAATTTTTAATTTTTATGTGTTTTACAAAGATCGATTGTAATAACTTAAAATGGAATTTTAAATTTTATGCATTTTAAGAAGATCGATTTTAATAACTTAAAGATACATCATGGGAGATTCGATAACGAGTTGGCAGTTCTCACTATAATAGTTAAAAACTACATAACGTAAAGGCAATTTGCTGAAAATTTCATTCAAATTGATCCACTATGAACCGAAAACTAAGCGAATGAAAGTTCTGCCTAGCCTCGGTCATCTTTACTAAAGTCAGTACGATAAACAGCATAGTCTCGATTATCTATTTAATCGTTTAATCGAGAAGGAAAGTTATGCAGTAAATCGGCTCACAATCCACTTAAGATCGCAGGCTAGCGATGCCATCTAGAGTTGATTATGGTCTGGATAAGTTAATTAATGTCTAATTAATAATTTAGATAACATTTCAGGACTAAAGAAAGACCTGCAATAGACAGATTTAGCTCTTGCATAATGTATGTTTAACATGGAATTTTAATAGTTAAAATTGCTTTCACCTGGGCAGTGCCGTTTTTCAGTAGCTGGCGTACGAGCGTAAACAAATACGCTCTGGGGGAGAACACTAGATCGAAGTTGGTCATAAGGCACATTAAGATTAAAATCCATTATTTATAAAAACGTTCCGCACGACTGTCTTTCGTGTCTTATATCTCAATGTCGGTATAATTTATATTTTGACAAAGCGGCGTAATACGATCGATGTGAACTGTCGTAGCAATATAACACTGCAGTTTGTCTGAAATCAATGACAAATATTAATTTCTATCAACAATTAATACATCATAATGGCATATCAGTACAATTAATTTATTCTTAAGCTACCGCCCTGAGATGACTAAATTTTGGGGTGATTCAGTCAAAGATTTAAGTCAACGTTCCAGAATATTATATTTATGGTAATCTCGAACAATGATTGATTATGACAATCAAAGTTTACAAAATGTTACTTTAAAATTTAATCAGCTTTTCAGAATATCACTTCAGAAAATCGGAGATTAAATCTCAGAATAGCACTAATCTGGACCTAAACACTGAAGAATGGATCCGCTTGCGAGAGAGAGAAATGGGGTTTAACGTCCACTCGACAAAAAGCAGGTTATTTCGGGACTAACATATGGTTCAATTTTATTTCAATAATTCGTTTGCGAGTAGGAGCCTTTAGCAGTTGTAGGAAACCGGAGGACCCGGAGAAAACCCACGAGGTTGGACGGGCAACCCTACTCCTTTTCACGCACGTATTTTCAGGCCACCAATGGAAATGTGCCTTATGGAAAGCAGAGACTTAATCCGGCACTGGCTGCCTCGCTACCAGGAGATCTGGGGTTCCTTTCAGGTGTTGGCCGAGACAGTTCCTTGGGATTTCCCAGTGTCGTTCCCTTTATCTGTTGTACAAATTGTAAGGGTTGGCAAGGAAAGGCGTCTAATCGTTCGGTTGGGACTAAAACCGAGATCCTGTGTACACGCTAATGTGCACGTAAAAGAACCATTAACAGATGTAATTCGAAATAAGAGTAGACCGATCGGCGAAGATCTTTGAAGCGCTAATACCTTCAAATTGTATCTATTTGTGCATATGAAAAGGTGGACAATGGGGGTGAACTTTGAGTTCTTAAGAAGACAACTGATCACACAAATATATAGTACATGTATATATAGAGGATATTTGTCGTTTTGTCGTGAATAACATATTTTATTTCATCTCTAAGCAAGAAAACTTATAAATATAAACGTTTTCTTGCTTAGAGATGAAATAAAATATGTTATTCACGACAAAACGACAAATGTTCTATTTATTTTATGATTTTACAATCATTTTAGGTAAAAACAACTAGCCAGTGAGTGGAATAACACTTTTATTTCACTGATAAAACGCGGTATTCCACTACTGAACATAAAATAAAATACATTACTTTGTCCTATTGGCCAATGTCATTTGATTTGGGTAACGACGTCAACCATTTCTAATTACATACAAATCAAATATTTGCAATATTTCCATGACATTGTCTAGTCTGTGATTCGAATTGCCACAAACGTGATTTTAGCCATGATAAGCTGACAGTCGGATGTAATATCAATATTCATCATATCACCATGTCCGTTTTGTTTAAATATTACTTTGACGTATTGTTGATGTTACTACTCTTGACATTATTTAAAGTGAGCGTAAGGGTAGAACAGCCTTTTCTGTTTATCTGTGGTTCAAATATACATAGTAGATATTATATTCCAATCAGGGCCCGTTTAATGATGGGGACCCTGACTGCGGCGCCGTCGCCCCCACCACTACACACACACCTCTTTAATCCAGTTCTGATTGAAATATATCTCATATATTTAAACAACAGTTCTAAAACAATTTTATTATGTTTTATATATGTGTGCCAAATAAATTGATCTCTACATGCAAATTGCGTTTGTATGAGTGTGGCGGAAAATGACCAGAATATGTCCCAATTTCACTGTTGATGCAAGGGCCTCATTGACATTTTCAGCCATGGGTCCCATACAAGCTTAATCCGGTCTTGATTTCAGCGGGGATCACTATTTAAAATAAAACATTCGATGTTATTCATTTACTAATCATTTCATGAAGAGCCCTTATGACTGACCAATCCCTTATTGTTTCTCCAATTCTTTGTTACATTGAAATACTATTCCCGATACTGCATCATACGATTACATATATAAACGTGAACTCCAAAGACTTAAAATGCCGACACTCTAAATATTTGAACGTAAATATAAGGATCCATAAATCGGATACCGGTCGATCAAACTCGCCATTAAGTCATGTGTCTATATTGTTTAGGACTTTAGGCTTTAACACCTGTTTACAGACCCCAAAAGTGAGAAAAAAAGAACATGTCTAGAATATAACAGAAGCACAATTGCCTGCTCTCAATCGCCCTTCAAAAGAGATAAGAAATTTAATAACTGTTTGTTTAGTATAGAAATGAATATGTCCAGTATCAATCTGGCCATAAGCTTGTTTCGTTATAGTTTACCGATATACGTTCTCCACAGCCATGGTTAGATATTTGGTTAAGCCTACATGTATGTGATTCTGCTGCACTGACTACCGATAAGACGAATGGAAAATAAAATTGATTCCACATTTTGTGTCATAGGACCACATTATTCATGATATACTTTGGCGGTGATTTCACGTCATTTGACTATATAAAACAAATTATATAAAAAATGATAAACCGTTTCTGTTTTTATCTGCATGACTGGAAACAAAATTATACTTATAATGAATATTCTAAAAATGTTTGCTGTATATCGAGCAGTGATAAAGTTTAAATTTAACAATTTTACCGTTTGGTGTATGTAATACACTGATACAATTGTTAGGACACACCCTCGTACTTATTCGTTGCTTTTGTATTAACTGGAACCACACTACGGAGAATTTACCCCCAAAAATATGACCTCATCGCTTAGGACGAAAAAATATTTTTGAAATCATACATAAGATAAGAAAAGTTTGTCGTAAATATTTAGATTAGTGGAAAAGTTCAAATAAAGCGGGGAAATAAATAAAGTTTCATCTTACCTTGCTCGACTTCCGTTCCGTTAGCAACACGAATTTAACTGTTAGTCCATGTCACACGTGTTGCAGAGAAAACCGGAAAATAAAAGTTAAAGTCAGAGAAAAGAAAACACAATTTGAACTGTAGACGTTACATGGTTGTACAGTTATGCGGTTCGGGTGTTAAACTCGTTACTTTACCACAGGTTACAAATCAATGGGAGTTATTCCTGCACGAGACGAGGCGTAGAGGCTCTGTTTGTCTGGCATCATCTCTGAGCTTGACCCTGTACGGAATGAACGTCTGCTGTCTGCTTGAGGTTTGGTAGCCACTCACTTCCCACTCGCTGTATTTCGCCAATACTTGAAGTATGATGCACCGTTCGGGTTAACACCGATCTCTAATGTTAAATAAACGTTTGTTTGTTTCCTCTTGTTAGTTGCTACTTTTAGTCTGAACGCCCGTTTTGTTTGGGTAAATAAACCGAGACTATAATAGTGAGATACCACTGGTTTAGTTGTCCCACTTCAATACAGATTTTAAATTAGCGTAAACAAATAAATGGGGGTGGAGTGAGCTCAAGTCGTACCAGTTGACATGTTGCGAATTAAAATATCGAATTTACTCTATGACGAAGGACTAAACGCCGAGCTCATCCATGACGACGAACCAATATCATGTGATCATCTGTCCCTACAAAGAATTCGAGACAGTAACAACCAGATTGTAGTAAGTCGTCCGAAAGCGAACTCTCAAGAAACCAGCTAGGTTTCAAGATTATGTTTTAGTCTAAACTATTTTCGGATAATATGTATTAAGTTTAAGCATGTCATTATTTAGCTCTTACATAATGTATGTTTAAGTAAATAGCTTTATACAAATATCATTTTTCAGCTTAATTATTATGTTTTGCGAACTTTGAGGGCTCATTTGAATTGGGTATTTGAGGAGTAAAGAGTTTTTTTTACACTTCTTCTGGCTGTTGAATTTGGAAAATACTGTAAGCCATGGGTGCATTCTTTATTGTTTAGGAATAAAACTGAAAGAAATAACATGAAATATACACGAGGCCTCGTTTTTCACCCCATCCTAATGAAGAGAGGGTGTTCCTTTCCAGGCCCTTCGTCCTGCACCACCACAACCGGAATCGATCCCGGGACACCCTGTGCGGGGGTGCTTTGGTGAATAGACCTATAGTTCGGCCAGGCCTAGTTATTATTTTTTTCTGCCAGGGTAAACTGTGTTCTGTGTCCACTTGAATCATGAGCCAAAGTGCTTTAGTTTTATTCAACAGACACTCTTATTAATTAGCGTTATCTCAGCAATTCACCAATTCATCTATAAGACGAGGGACTGACAAGGACAACTGTCTAGTCGTTTGGATGGTACTAAAAACCGAGGTCCCGTGTACAGATTGGCATGCACGTAAAAGTTCCTTGAAAGTTGGAATTCAATATAAGAGTAGGCCGTAATGCCGCCGTCCGGGCAAAATTTCCCTCATTATAACACACTGTATGGCGTATGGCCGTCTTCATTAGCCCAGTTCGGAGCAGAACAGTAGGACGTTAAACCCCATTTCATTTGAGACCTAAGTGAGGCATTGGATGGTGGTTGAAATGTCATTGATCTGCCGTGGATAATTAGTCGAAGAAAATGATATTGGAAAATTATGATAATCCAAGATAAATTTTGCCCATACAGCGGCTCTACGGCCTATTCTGTTACTTCGAATTCAAATTATCAGGGACCTCAGTTTTTAGACCATCTGAACGAATAGACGCTGTTCCATGTCAGGCCACCTGTCCATCCTGGGTGACTGACATGGCGAAACCACGCCGGAAAATCCCGAGGAACTTTGTCAGTCAACACCGGGATCGAACCCGGGGCCCCCAGGTTATCGAGACAGTGCCTTATCGAGCAACCGCGGCTCCAACTTCACTCCAATATAAAATGAAATGAAATGGGGTCTAACGTCTTACTATTCTGCTCCGACTGGGCTAATGAAAACGGGCAACCAAAAAAGTGTCAGATATTAGTATATTATGGGGTTTAACGTCCTGCTTCTTTGCACCGACTGGGTTAATGAAGGCGGATATACGCCATCATAGAACTGCACTAAAACTATGACGCCATATTGTGCTGTGAAGAAATTTTTCCCGGCCAGCGGTGCTACGGCCCTACTCTGCTTATAACGAATTTCAATTGATTTGTACACGGGCCCTTGGTTTTCCGTCCCATCCCAACGATTAGGCCCTACATTCTACAGTATTGAGAAAATACACGGGTCATTTTATAAGCGCGATTGTAGGTTATGGTCTATTCTATTCTTACAAATTATTCACATTTCTATATGTAAGACAAGAAGAAGACCAGGATGTATTAAGGACGAGATGAAACATTTGACGGTAATAAATTAGTGTGTCAAATATGATGTAATGTATTAGTAATTTGTCTTAAACCAGGAGCTTATTACATTAGTGGTGATAGTTGACGGGACGGAAATTTGGGGAGGTATTTTCCCCCAGTTTCAAACATACTATTTCAGTATTCCAAATAGATAGACCTGCCGCTGTCCGGGCCAAATCATTTTGCCTAGCATACTAGCATTGCACATGACTATACAGAGGTGAAAACGAGCTTTGTTTTTCTCAAAGAGAGATATGGGGGCAAACGAAGGTGCTTTCCTCAAAAAAGCGGGACATGGAGCAGACGAGGGCGAGTTTTCCGAGAAAAGAACTAAGGCAAAGTTGCTTGAAAACGCAATTTGTTTCATTTTACACTAAAACAGTCTGTGATATCCTTATTTCCGTTTCACACGTTCTATATATATAGCCTAACATAATATTTTAGAGAATAAGATGTAAGAAAAGAAAGACACCCGAGTGAGACAATTAAATTTAATCTAGGTCTTTGAAGTTTCTTAAATACAAATATACTTTTTACGTTTTGATATAATAATATAATACCTTCTCTGGTTTTATAACATTTTATATAATATATTGGTAACTAAGTAGTACGGAAACTATATATTTCTTTGGGCGTTAACATCAAGACAAACGTCTTTAAAGCTTGGTATTAATGCATTTTATGTTTAAGCAGAGGTTAAAATATATTCTTTAAATAATGGGCTCACGTGCCGAAAGGGTCTTACTTAAATCCCCCACCCACCCGAAAAAATTGTCTAAATGTACCCTATGTAGGCCTAAGTCTCAGAATGAAAGACGCATTGTGTTCAAGAGACGCTAAACTTCATTTCTTTCCTGTTGTCAATGTATATTCAGTGAAATATTTATCTTCAAAATGTTCACACCTCTTCCCCTACCCTTTAATCCACCCAACATTTCTTAAATCCTTTTACAATTCATCACTTCTTGGCTTTCTATGAATTTAAAAAGATCTGACGGTGAAAACTTTTCTCTAAAGCACTTTTCTGTTGGATGCGCGACATGGTCATTTAGTTTATAGCGAAATGGTTCGATTCTTTTTAAGTTCAGTTTCTAAAATCATAACAATGACTAGGCTATGTCTTGAGTATCTGAAAATGGCTTTCAGTTGTAAATTTTAAGCTCTAGTATTACTTTTTTACACTGGATCTTTGATTTGTGTTATTTTTTCACAAAGAAAGGTTAAGCTGAAAATTCACAATACAAAGGCGATTTCTTTAAGTACTTGGATGTTTCTCTTTTGATTTCTCTGTATTAATAGAAAACCATTTTATAAAGAAAATACAAGCAAATTTTTTTCAACTGAACAGCCTGGATATCTTTAAATGAGTAACCCCAGTTATATAACAGTGAATAAAACTAAAGTAGTGCGGCTAAGGCAGGATTTCCACTAGGTCAGCTCTGAACGTAGGTCTCATTACACTCGAGGTCACGCCCCCATCATCGTGAGAGACGAATACGAAGAATGTTATATGTATCAGGGGGTAATGTGGGGCGAGCTGGTGACGCTGAACTTCAGATAATTTGAACTGTTTACCATTCCTAGCGACGAGAGAATCTGCATCGACAGAAATAAACATCTCAGTATAAAACCTGTGATTTATATAATTTTGTCATGTGACATGTCTGAAATGTTCTGTATAAGGTAATTCAATAGTCTGTGAGCAGCTAAGACTAGTATACTCCCTCGTCTGGATCAGAATGGGATTTGTCTGTCAAGGGTTCATGATCAGAATCATCAAGGTCATCAAGAGATGCGTTCGTTCTCGATATAAAGAGTTACAGTGAGCGCGGTTAGTCAGTTACTGATGGGTAAGGTCCGATTTACAGTTTGTACGTTCCGCATGGTAGGGTACTTCGTCACTGCATGAAAATGTCGCACCATGAAAAATGTCTGGAGGTGGTCTTTTGATACATGTGAATTTGCTGAACATTTTACAACATGTTTCGTGTGGTTAGTAAATGGGTTAGTGGGGTGGATTGGGCAAATTAGGGACGTCCGGCGAGTTTTCCCCATACTGTAAAAAATCTTGTGTTGGATCTCAACACAAGGACTTGTGTTAAAACGATCCTACACAAGCTTGTGTTGTTGTGCATTGCATTACCACAAACTTGTGTAGATTTACATAGAATCTTGTGTTTTTTTCATACAAAAACGCACGTAATGTGTAACGTCAACAATTTTAACGTCAACAATTTTAACAGGTTTAGGAACTGATGGGATTGTGACTATGAAGAGCCATTTCCATTCATTCTTTCATGGGGTGAGTGGTGTGGTGGTGGTGGAGGGGTGGGGTCGAGACGAGGCATACAGATGCTGTAAAGTGACCTCTTTGGGAGGTGGTCATAAGGGAAAAAACCAAAACGGCAAAAAAAAATCACTTTGATCTAATAGATCATAGTTTGGTCAAACCTGCCAAAAGTATTAGTAATTGCAAAACAATCTATTTTACACAACATTTGTTTTTCTTTGATAAAAATACCAACTGAGCTGTTTATCATTTGTTAATTTTTCTCAGATAATAGCCAGAAAGACTTGCATGTTAATTGTCGTTAAGATGTCTGTGGTAAAAATGTCTGCAAGTTCCTGATTTTTATTGGCCCACTAATCTCTTAGATCAAAGGAATACATAATGTACATGTGAATTTTAGCAAATGGGTGTTTTTAAAAGTTGACTCTATGTACGTGTGAAAAAATAAGTTGATAAAATAGAAATTCGACATTATTGCTTCACTGAAAAAGAAAACAATCAAATTTAATTACTCTTACATAATTAGAAAACAATATCAGATGTATCTCATAATGGATTTATTGTTCAGACACCTTATATTGTTTTCTAAGTTAACTATATGATATTTTGTGTGGCAAATTCTTCCTTGGATTATTATATTAGATACCCTGAAACTAGTAGGCTATATTTAGAGTGAAGTTAGCATCAACAGCGTCCTGACATTGTTTTAGAGCAGTGATACTTT